CGACTATTTAATTACTATTTTGGTAACAGTTTATTTTTAAATATTTTTCGAAATATTCTAACAAAAAGTTTTTCCGGTGATTCTAAAATATGCTTTTGTCAGTAGAAAAAGTGCGTACTACGTCCACAGATGTATAAAAATGCTTACTGGTTTAGAGCAGGCGCGACAAAACAGTTCCTTCTTGAAGAATAAGTTCAGGAAAAGGTTTAATCCATAAATTAATTAGAGTTATGGTCGACATATTGACACACCTATATCGCTTTAAATGCTTTCAATGCAAACTCACGATGAAAAATAATAGGGTAACGTCCCTTCGGACACCATAAAACATATCATTAATAGTATAATAAGTAATAAGTAACCAACAAAAATATTGGGAATGAACGGTATTTCCAAAAGTAATTGGAGCCCGAATTTACCTGGAAGAATGGCTTAACACCCGGTGGTTTCTACAAACTACCATAAAAACCAAACCTTTACTAGTTATTTGAAGCTCAGGACAATATTTGAAATATGATTCATGAAATTTCGTTTTTCTAGATAAATGCCGATAGAATGACAATTTTTTTTTCAAATTAGCACAAAAATTTATAAAAATGCAAAATATGCACCCGTTGCGTGAAATATGCAGCAGAAGGCAAATATATGCAAATATGCAATTTTTTTATAGCTGTATTCAGTTTTAATTAGCATGATTCGTTCACATATTAAATATCAAGACTTGTATGCAAAAAAATAACGGATATGCAAATTTCATAAAATCCGCTCTCTAATGATAACCTTCTCAAGAGCTCCAAATATCTTTTCTTTTAATGTGAAACCTTCTCGGGGGCGCCAAATGTTTTTTTTAAAGAACGTGAAATCGTCTCGGGGATCACAACCAACTTTTTTTAAAATGATAACCTTCTCAAGGGCTCCAAATGTCTTTTCTTTTAATGTGAAACCTTCTCGGGGGCGCCAAATGTTTTTTTTTAAGAATGTGAAACCTTCTCGGGGATTCCAACCATCTTTTTTAAAAATGATAACCTTCTCAAGGGCTCCAAATGTCTTTTCTTTTAATGTGAAACCTTCTCGGGGGTCCCAACTGTCTTTTTTAAAAATGTAAAAACCTTCTCGGGGGTGCCAACTGTCTTTTTTTAACAATGTGAAACCTTCTCGGGGGTCCCAACTGTCTTATCTAAAATGTAAAACCTACTCGGGGGCGCCAAATGTTTTTTTTAAGAATGTGAAACCTTCTCGGGGGCCCCAACCATCTTTTTTAAAAATGATAACCTTCTCAAGGGCTTCAAATGTCTTTTCTTTAATATGAAACTTTCTCGGGGACCCCAACTATCTTTCCTTTTAATGTGAAACCTTCTCAGGGGTCCGAACTGTGTTTTTTAAAAATGTAAAAACCTTCTCGGGGGTGCCAACTGTCTTTTTTTAACAATGTGAAACCTTCTCGGGGGTCATAACTATCTTATCTAAAATGTAAAACCTTCTCGGGGGCAACAAACGGTTTTTTTTTTTAAGAATGTGTAACCTTCTCGGGGATCCCAACCAACTTTTTTAAAAATGATAACCTTCTCAAGGGCTCCAAATGTCTTTTTTTTTAATGTGAAACCTTCTCGGGGGCCCCAACTGTCTTTTTTAAAAATGTAAAAACCTTCTCGGGGGTGCCAAACGTCTTTATTTAAAAATGTGAAACCTTCTCGGGGGCGCCAAATGTTTTTTTTTTTTTTTAAGAATTTGAAACCTTCTCGGGGATCCCAACCATTTTTTTTAAAAATGATAACCTTCTCAAGGGCTCCAAATGTCTTTTCTTTTAATGTGAAACCTTCTCGGGGGTCCCAACTATCTTTCCTTTTAATGTAAAACCTTCTCGGGGGTCCCAACTGTCTTTTTTTAAAATGAATTGACCTGACCTGACCTGACCTGACCTGACCTTCTCGGGGGTGCCAAATGTCTTTTTTTAACAATGTGAAACCTTCTCGGAGGTCCCAACCAACTTTTTTAAAAATGATAACCTTCTCGGGGGCGCCAAACGTTTTTTTTAAGAATGTGAAAAAAAAAATCATCACAAATGCGATAAGGCGGGTGGGCGGGGCTTTAATTTAGCCTTTTTTAAAATACGTGTAGTCTTTTCGTAACAAGAAACTTAAAACACGTTCAAAATGGTAACTTTTATAGAGAAATGGATTTTGCAATTAAGCTCCGCCCCTCCACCTGACCAAGGCGGGTGGGTGTTAGAAGTAATTTCACCACGAAAGGGTACAGGGGCGGTGCTTAAGTTGCGCGACTTGTAGTCGGGCTAGCAGTGGCGTAACTCGATGCATTGAGACGGGAGGCTCGGCTGAGTTATACTTCTTTCAAAAACAATTAAACAAAGAGCAATTTCTACAAAAGAATACAGACAACCATTTAATAAAAATAAATTAATTTGTTTAATAAAAAACTAGACTTACGTAACAATAAATTATTATAATCCATCACACAAAATTTGGTATTTTTAATTATTAAACGAGTTTATAATGTGAGGGATTATAGCATGAGTAAAAAAATTCACGAACCCCTCATTATAAACCAGTATCGTACACTATTTTATAGTCGACTAGTCTTAAATCAATAGTTAAATCTTTAAATAAAAGCGGAGATAAAACTCTTAGAATCAGCAACCTATGACTATAATTATATGGCTTTTGATTTTCTGGCACAATTTGTCGATACCGTAAAGTCGGATTATAATAAGGCTTAACGTTTTCTGTCTTTAACCTCGAAGTAATAATCACAGTTCATATTCTAGCATAATTGTCGTTTATAACTAAAGCTTCGACTGTACCGTAATTTAACAGTTATTATTGCTCACTAGAAATTACCTTTTTACTTCTTTTACTTACTTTTTTATTCAACTCATACATCAAATACAGCACTAACAATTGTTTAAATTCATTTTCTATAATATCAACGCTAATAAAATAGGAAAGTGATATTTTTATTAACCACAATAATATTTTAATATTTCAAAATCGAAATATTCATCGCCGCTGCCACTGCTTTCGCGACATTTGTAAGGCCAAACCAAAGCAATCTTCTGCGTACTCCCACCAGCTGTACCCTTTCGTGTTGAAAGCCACTCTACTTAATCTTTGGATTTATTTTTTAATATGGTTTTCTTTCAACAACAGAATATTTGCTTAAAATATCAAATAGTGAATTTGAGGTTAGAATTACGTCGGACATTTTGTAAAAATTAATATACGTAAGAACTTTTACTATCAGACGTGTTCATCATAATCGAGTTTCGTCATTTTTACAAAGTCATTGCTTTTTTTTTTAATATTATTCGGGAGACTTTTTGGTACCCATGGTGTATTATTTTGGAGATTTTTTTGCAAATTATTTAAAACAACTTTAGGGAACTTTGTGTTCTATTTTTGGAAATTTTTAGAGTTAATTTTGTGACTTTTTTTTTAATTTAAGATAAAACAATCTTGAGGTTCTAGGTATTCCTATTTGGGAAGAATTTGAAAGTGCTTTGGCGCCTCTAGTGTCTTTTCTTATAATAATTTAATTCAATTTCTTAGAGGATACATCGTTTGATAAAACCAATCTTATCTTAGCAGACACTAGCCACGCCCACCCCCCCTCTCTTTCCTTAAAGGCTATTTCATTTGCCAAAATCACGCTTATCTAATTTTCCGATTTTTTATTTTACAATTTTTTGTTAATCGATTCTTTCATTTTTAAGTTCTTGGGTTTTATTTGGCAATTTTTCAAGTTTTCAGTTTTAAATGTAGAAGTTTTTGATTCCAATTTTTCAATTTATCGAAATGGTATTTTTCTAATTTTCGTTTTTAAATTTTTCAGTTTCACCATTTTGCAATTTTTGGATTTTTAACTTGCTAATTTTTAATTTTTGTTGTTCAATTTTTTAGATTTTTCAATAATTTTGCAATTTTTGTAATTTTTAGTTTTAAATGTTTCAATTTTTACTTTTATGATTTTTAAATTTCTCGTTTCTTCAATTTCTGGATTTTTAATTTTTCGAAGTTTTCGATTTTTTAGTTATTATGCAATTTTTCCTTTTGACACTTTTCAGATATTTTTATTTATGTTTTTTTACTGTTTTTGGATTTTTACTTTGTAATTTTCCTAGTTTTCATTTAATTTTTCAATTATTCGATTTCCAAATTTTTAATTTTTTGAATTTTTCGATTAATTAGTTTCTTACTGGTTTAATCGGTAGTTTTTTTTTTAATAATATTCGGGAGACTTTTTGGTACCCATCTTAGCAGATACTAGCCCCGCCCACCCACCCTCTCTTTTCTTAGAGGGGATCTCATTTGCCAAAATCACTCTTATCCAGACAGGTATTAGCCCCGCCCTCCCACCCTCTCTTTTCTTGGAAGGTATGTCATTTGCCAAAATCGGTCTTATTTTAGCAGGTAGGCTAGGTCTTTTTTAAAAATGTAAAAACCTTCTCGGGGGCGCCAACTGTCTTTTTTTAACAATATGAAACCTTCTCAGGGGTCCCAACTGTCTTATCTAAAATGTGAAACCTTCTCGGGGGTCCCAACCATCTTTTTTAAAAATGATAACCTTCTCGAGGGCCCCAAATGCATTTTCTTTTAATGTGAAACCTTCTTGGGATTCCCAACTGTCTTTTCTAAAATGTAAAACCTTCTCGGGGGACACAAATGTATTTTTTTAAGAAAGTGAAACCTTCTCGGGGGTACCAACTGTCCTTTTTTTTTAAAAAGGCGAACCTTCTCGGGGGCCCCAAGTGCCTCTTTTAGACTGTTAAGTCTTCTCGGGGCTCCCAACTGTCTTTGTTTAACAAGGTGAAACCTTCTTTTTTTGTATTACACTGCGTGCTGTGACTAGTACCTTCTGATTTTTTTTTCAATACAACCGGTTATGGGTGCATTACAGACAGCCCACATATTAAACAATATCAGTTTTGGATACACTATAAAACGCACTATCGAGTCTATATTTTTCAATGTTGATATAAAAAAATACACAATTATGCGTCTTAATTGTTTATTTCGTATTTGAGTGAACACTAAATACATTCGTTGTTTAAACTTTCATGTCTCTGTGATGTGGTACCACAACTTCATATGCCGGTACATCCTCTTCAATAACCCATATAGACCCATTTTTGCCCTTGTTGATAGCTTCAATCAGTCCTTCTCCTATTCGTTCCGGTCTGCAAATCACATTCACACCTTTGGTACTACAAAGTACTATTCTTACTTACGACTGCGCTATCGAGCAAACGGAGTAAATTTCCTTCTCTATTAGTTCTGGAAACAAATATCCTCCTGATCGGTGCGCCAATGGGGTGTCTACCAACCCCGGACAAATCGTAACAACGCGTACTTTATATCTTTTGTAAAATTCGTCCCCACCAAGAGCTTTCCCCAAACCAATCAATCCATGTTTTGTAGCACAATAAACAGGAGCTATTTGTAATACATGGAAACCGCAAGTTGAAGCCGTGTTGACGATAAGGCCTTCTTCTCCAGATTTGTACTTTGGAAGGTACTTCTGCATAGCGAGATAAATTCCTTCGATAAGAGCGACCTAATATTGAAAAATTTAGTACGAGCTACAATTGCCTCAAGGTACTAGTCACCAAATTCAGTGATATTGTGCTTTTCCAGTCAGTTTCGTCCATTTTTCCCGCATTATTAATCACAATGTCGAGTTGGTTGTAGGTTTTAATGGTGGTTTCGAAAACCCCTAGGTACTCATTATATTACAAATTTTTAATCTGAGCAAACGTGTTACCTTCCAATTCTGGAGTCTTCGTGATGTCTGCTTTTATAAAAGTCACTTTATTGTGGCCAAAAATGTCAACAGCTTTGTTTCCTGCGTCGTCACAAATGTCTACTATTGCAACACCCTAAAACGAATTAAATTTGGTTATACCTTATTACTGAGTTACCTTGGCGCCATGTTGTAGAAGATTTTTAACCATGGCAAGTCCAATCCCTCCAGCTCCCCCTGTAACAAGTACTACTTTTCCAGCAATGAAGTCCATCGTGTCGTTAGCGAAGACGTTGCCAAAATGATAGTTTAATCTTGTGTGTGATAAGTTATAAATAGAGTTTTAAAATTGATTACATAAAAACTAATATTGTAGTATTTTTATTTAAATTATCTACACTTTCATGGTTCTGTAGTGAGGTACTACAACTTCGTATGCGGGTTGGTCGTCTTCTATAACCCACAACGACCCGGTTTTGCCTTTCTTGATTACTTCAATCAGGCCTTCTGCTACACGTTCTGGTCTATAATAAATCATACTCGAGTACTGCTTTAGTACTACTATCAAGGTTACTCACGCCTGTATTATAGTACCCAAAGTACCAATCTCTTTTTGTAGTAAGTCTGGAAAGAAAAGTCCTTCTGTTTTTTCAGACAGTGGGGTGCGTACCATCCCTGGGCACATCGTCACAACACGAACCTTATACTTCTTGTAAAATTCTTCCCCACCTAGAGCTTTCCCTAAACCTATCAGACCATGCTTCGCGGTACAATAAATGGGTGATATTTGAAACGAATGAAATCCGCAGATAGACGCCATATTGACTATAAGACCTTCTTCTCCGGATTTGTACTTCGGGAGATACGTCTGCAGTGCAAGATACGTACCTTCCACCACAGCCACCTATAATCAACTACTAGTACGGTACGACTCTTTTGGTGGTACTCACCAAGTTCACTGCCAGTGTTTGTTGCCACTCGATCTCCCCCGAAATTCCAGCATTGTTGATCACTATGTCCAGTTGGCGATAGGTTTTGATAGTTGTTTCAAAAGCCCCTAGTACACACAAATAACAAAATGAATAGTAAGTAGTACCAAGTACCTTCTAGTTCCGTTTTCTTTGTGACGTCCGCTCTAATAAAAATGGCTTTATTTTCGCCAAAAGTGGCTACGATTTCGTCGAGGGCTCTCCGTCCTGATTCGTCAGAAATATCAACTATTGATATACCCTTGGTACCACTTTGGAGAAGTTTTTTGACCACGGCTAACCCGATTCCACCAGCTCCCCCTGTAATGAGGACTACTTTTCCTGCAACAGAGTCCATAGTTGTAGTACCCAGAAACACGAATACTTGAAATGTGGAAACTATACCACTTTTAATAAATTTGACTAGATAGCAAGTTATCACTAGCGATAATAATGTTATAAAAGTGTTGGTTATCGTTGAGTTAGAACCATTTATAGTTAGATTACTATATTTTTGAACATATATTATGCCTGTATTCTTATTATTGCTGGCCAATAAAACATGTTTTAAATATTTTAAAAATATATATAAAAAATAAGTACTTAAGCGTGAATAAACATAATGACAAAGTTTTATTTTTTCTGGAAACTTCAACATTTTATTTTTCAACAGTCTGATACCTACTGTCCTTCAGTTTAGCAATTTTGGTGGTTATTTATTTTCCAATTTTTTAAATTTTCGAGTTTCGATTTTTAAAATTTAGATTTTCGAAATTTAATTTTTTTGATTTTTTGATGTTTGGATTTCTCCAATTTTCAATTTTACATTTTAATTTTTCAATGTTTTAAATTTTTCGATTTTTCGATTTTTCAGTTCTTCAACATTTTGTAATTTTTCAAATTTCGGCGTGTCTGAATTTACAGTTTTCCGATTTCCTGATCTTTTTTTTTTATTTTCCCATTTCTCGACTTCCCAAAGTTTTGATTTTTCAGTTCTTCAGTTCGATTTTCCAGGTTTCTGATTTTTCAGTTTTTCGACTTTTTATGTTTGTGATTTTTCGATTTTTTGGATTTTATGAATTTCTTGTTTTTTGGATTTTTTAGATTTCTTCGATTTCCTGGATCTCTTAGAATTCGTCGTTTTCTTGAATTTCATGGATTTTCTGGATCTTCTGGATCTCTTAAATTTTTTGGGTCTTTCGGTTCTTTTGGATTTTTTGGATTTTGTATTTTTTGAGTTCTTTTTTTTTCACTCCCTTTTTCTCTGCTTGATTTTCTTGGGTTTCTTACATTTCATAGATTTTTTCGATTTCAGGGTTTTTTTGGATTTTGCAGATTTTTTGGATTTTATGGATTTCTTGTTTTTTTGGATTTTTTCGATTTTTCTGATTTCCTGGATTTCTTAGATTTCTTGGTTTTTGACTTTTCGATTTCTCAATTTTTCAATTTTTTAATTTCCCAATTTTTGTATATTTAGTTAAATTTTCTGATCTTTTAGTGTTTCGATTCCTCAATTTTTCTTCTATTTTTCAATTTTTCGAGTTCTGGATTTTTCGATTTTTCGACTATTTACTTTTGGATTTTCAATTTTTGGAATTTTTGATTTTTAACTTTTCAAGTTTTTCGATTTCTTGAGTTTTTATTTTTTAATTTTTCGATTTTCCACTTTTTCGATGTTTGGAAATATAAATAAGCCAAAATCGAAAAATTGAAAAGTTAAAAATGGAAAAATTGATAAATCGAGAAATTGAAAAATAAAAATATCAAAACATACGAATCTCGATAAATCGAGATCTCTAAAAATTGAAAATCAAAAATTCAAAAATTCGGAAAATTGAAAAATTAAAATATAGAACTGAAAATTCGAGAAATCGAAAAATCTAGAATTTTAAAAATGGAAAAATTAAAAAACTGAAAATCCAAAAAATAAAAAATAGAAAATTCGAAGAATCGAAATATTGAAAAATCCAAAAACTAAAACAAATATCCAAAAATTGAGAAATTAAAAAATTGGAAAATTGAGACATCGAAAAACTGAAAAAGTAAAGTCGAAAATTCAAAGAATTGAAGAACTGAAAAATCGAAACTTTGAGAAGTCGAGAAGTGGGAAAATCAAAAATAGATTAATTGAGAAATCGGAAAACTGAAAATTTAGCAACGTCAAAATTTGAAAAATTGAAAAATAGAAAGACTGAAAAACTGAAAAATAAAAAAATCAAGAAATCGAAACAACAAAAATCGAAAAGTTGAAAAATTGAAATGAAGAACTGAAAATTCGAGAAATCCGAAAACTTAGAATTTTAAAAATTGAAAAATTACAACATTCAAGGCGTTGAAAAATTGAGAAATCGAAGTATAAACACCGAAAAATTGAGAATACAAAAAGTCAAAAATCGAGAAATCAAAAAATCCATGAGTCCAAAAATCGAAAAGTGGAAGAATCGAAATGTTGAAAAATCCCAAAACTAAAAGAAATATCCAAAAATTGATAAACTATAAAATTGGGAAATTGAGAAATCGAAAAACTAAAACAAAAGCAAAGTTGAAAAGTCGTAAGCTTAAAAAATCGAAAAATTGTGTTCAATGGAAGAACTAAAAAATGGAAGAAAAACTGAAGAATCGAAAAATTGGAATATCCAAAATCTGAAACATAAAAAATTTCCTGGATTTCTTAAATTACTTGGTTTTTGACTTTTCGATTTCTCAATTTTTCAATTTTTTAATTTCCCAATTTTTGTATATTTAGTTCAATTTTCTGATCTTTTAGTGTTTTGATTCCTCAATTTTTCTTCTATTATTCAATTTTTCGAGTTCTGGATTTTTCGATTTCTCGACTGATTACTTTCTGGATTTTCAATTTTTCGTTTTTAAAACTTTGGATTTTACAATTTTTCGAATTTTTGATTTTTAACTTTTCAAGTTTTTCGATTTCTTGAGTTTTTATTTTTTAATTTTTCGACTTTCCATTTTTTCAATGTTTGGAAATATAAATAAGCCAAAATCGAAAAATTGAAAAGTTAAAAATGGAAATATTGATAAATCGAAAGATTGAACAATTAAAATATCGAAACATACGAATCTCGATAAATCGAGATCTCATGAAATTGAAAATCGAAAATTTAAAAATTCGGAAAATTGAAAAATTAAAATAAAAACCTGAAAAATCGAGAAATCGAAAAATCTAGAATTTTAAAAATGGAAAAATTAAAATATCGAAAAGTTGAAAAATTGAGAAATCGAAACATAAAACAGTTGAAAAATTCAAAAATCCAAAGTTTAAAAAACGAAAAACTGAAAATCCAAAAAATAAAAAATCGAAAAATCCAGAAGTCGAAAAATCGAAAATTCGAAAATTCGAAATATTGAAAAATCCAAAAACTAAAAGAAATATCCAAAAATTGAGAAATTAAAAAATTGAAAAATTGAGACATCGAAAAACTGAAAAAGTAAAGTCGAAAATTCAAAGAATTGAGGAACTCAAAAATCGACACTTGGAGAAGTCGAGAAGTGAGAAAATCAAAAATAGATTAATTGGGAAATCGGAAAACTGAAAATTTAGCAACGTCAAAATTTGAAAAATTGAAAAGTAGACTGAAAAACTGAAAAATCAAAAAAACAAGGAATCGAAACAACAAAAATCGAAAAGTTAAAAATTCTAAAATTTAAAAATCGAAAAGTTGAAAAATTGAAATGAAGAACTGAAAATTCGAGAAATCCGAAAACTTGGAATTTTAAAAATTGAAAAATTACAACATCCAAAAAGTTGAAAAATTGACAAATCGAAGTATAAACAGTCGAAAAATTGAGAATACAAAAGGTAAAAAATCGAGAAATCAAAAAATCCATGGGTCCAAAAATCGAAAAGTCGAAACATCCAAATATTGAAAAATTCCAAAACTGAAATAAATATTCAAAAATTGAGAAATCAAAAAACTGAAATAAAAGCAAAGTCGAAAAATCGTAAGCTTAAAAAATCGAAAAATTGAAAAATCAAAAACCTGAAAAATCGAAAATTTGAAGAATTGAAGAAGTGAAAAACCGAAACTTTGGAAAGTCGAGAAATGGGAAAAAAAAGATATTCAAAAAATCGAAAACCGAAAAATTAAAAACCGAGATTCAAAAATCGAAGCAACAAAAAATTTAAAAATCTAAATTTTAAAAATTCGGAAAAGTCGCAAAGTCGAAGTCAAAAAACAGAAAAATTGAAAAATCAAAAACCTCAATCGAAAAATTGAAAAACTGAAAAATCGAAACATTGAAAAATCGAGAAATCGAGAAATGGGAAAATCAAAATGTCAATTAATCGAGAAATCGAGAATAAGAGAAATTGAAAAATTCAAAAAGATAAAAATTCGAAAAACTGAAAAATCAAAATACTGAAAAATCCTAAAACTGCAATATCGAAAAATCGAAAAAAAATTAAAGAATAAAAAAAATGGAAAATACAAAAACTAAACTACGAAAAAGTGAGAAATCGAAAAATAAAAGTCAACAATTCGAAAAAGTCAAAAAATTGAAAAAAATCTTGAAAATCGAAAAACTGAAAACCAAAGAACGGGAAAACTGAAAAATTGAAAGGTTGAAAAGTCGAAAAATCGAGAAATTAAAAATCAAAAAAATGAATTATACGAGAAACTGACAAAAAATTGAAAATTTAAAATCGTCAAAAAACGAAAAATTGAAAAATTTTAAAATCGAAACATCGAGAAAACGAAATATCAAAAATATGAAAAATCTAAAATTGAAAAATTCGAAAAATTTTTTTATTTAAAAAATCGGAATATCGGGAAATCGAAAAGGCAAAAAATTGAAGAATTGAAGAATCGAAAACTCATTAGAAAACTCCCAAAACTGGAATAGCGAAAAATGAAAAAATGGAAGAAAAATTAAAGAATCGAAAAATTGGAAAATCCAAAAACTGAAACATGAAAAATCGAGAAATGGAAAATCAAAAACCAATTAAACAAGAAACTGAGAAATCAACAAAATTGAAAATTCAGAACCGCAAAAAACTGAAAAATCGAAAATTTATAAATTCGAAAAATTGTTTTCAACCGAAGAACAAAAAAAATCGGAAAATCGAGAAATCGACAATTCGAAAAGGCAAAAAATCGAAAAATTGAAGAATCGAAATACTGAATAATCCCAAAACTGAAATATCGAAAAATCGAAAAATGGAAGAAAAATTGAAGGATAAAAAAAAATTGGAAAATCCAAAAACTGAATCATTGAGAAATCCAAAAATTAAAAAATCGACAATCCAAAAAAGTCGAAAAAACCAAGACGAAAGAAATTCAAAAAATCGAAAACCGAACAATTAAAAAACGAGATTCAAAAAATCGAAGCAACAAAAAATTGAAAAATCTAAAATTTAAA